GTTTTCTGGGAGGGTTTGAATGGTATGAACAGACCTGCCCTTTGTGATATTCAGGTGTATTTCCGGGATCCCGTTCCCAGAGTCTGAATCATTGGTCTGGGAATGACATCCAGCAATATGCAATGTAACAGGCCCCCCAGGCGATGTGAATGCTGCCTACCTGAGGATCACCCTTTGAAAAACACAGGCTTTAATCCTCACCAAGGAGGAGTCTGGCCCACAAGCTTTTAAGTATTTAGCTGAGTTCGTGCTGAAATAGTGCAATTTGGCTGAATAGTGAGCTGTGGAACAGATGAGAAGAGGCAGTGCTTCAAAGACATGCTGAGCAAACTGAAAAGCAAGTTAAAGCACCGTGACATTGCTTCCAAAGCCGGGGATTGACAGCAGCTGACAGTCATGCTGGTACCAGTGTCACCTCTGAATACAAAGAACATTGGGTATTTTGACTTATTTCAGCAGGGATAAAATGTTAGGGAGGGAAATATTCCCCTAACGAGTTTCCTCCTCTGAAGCATCACTGTAGAATAATAATGCCTTATATTCATGTATCAGCCTTCCAATCACCAACTTATTTGAAACCATCACAAGAGAGACTTTTTAAATCATCTGCCCTGAGGCAAATGGTACATTTCTCGAAATTCCTTGAACGTTGAAAAAATGTACTTTTGAAAAACACATTCCAAGTTCTTTACAGCTGAGAAACATTTCCTTCTCACAATGTTAGAAGATGTCCGGCTGAAATAAAAGTGAATACAACTGGAGGCAGAAAGCTGGTTAGCAGATGCTTAAGATATCAAGGAAAATTCTATGCCTGCGTGACACTGTAGCATCTGGATTTATAAAAATTATGAGACCTGTGATTTGCCAAACATTGTCCTAAAAATTCATTGAAGAACACCCCTCTTCTCACACTCTTGGAGACTCCGAGGGCTGCCTGGTCCGTTTTTAGAACTTGGGTTTGGAATAGTCTTGACTTCTCAAGGACAAGGACTGTAGTCTGTTGATTTTGTATATTCCACTTTTAGTACATTATCCAGTATATAAAAGATATTCGATAATGTTGAAAGAATGGAATATTTTTTCCAGAATGAACCTACAATGAAGGGGATAGATTGGGGTAAAAGGAGGGGAGGGAAAGGGTACCTCCTGGCCTTTTCCTTTTTGCTAATAATTTGTTCAGATCCAAAGAGTTAACGGAGGTAAATGAGGTGCTGATGGGACTTATGTAGGTCAGAGGGAGCAGTGGAAAGTAAGAACGAGCAACCATTGCCCCAAAAAGCTGGAGATCTTCAACGTGTAAGACCGAATTCCAAGGCAGGCTGTTCTAAATAGGC